CCACTATTCGTTGGTAAAAGAGTAGCCCAAGAGTTGGCGGTGGGCTGTGATGATTAGCTGCCTTCTAACACTGCTAAATTAGCGACGGCTAGCGCAGATAGCCCTAGTGTAGCTTTGCGCGAAATTCATAACAAACCATCGCTATAATATTCAGAAATTTTGTATTGTCATAGGTTAGTGGAAACTTTCGATTATAGTAATTTACTAGTTTTAAACAAATTATAGTTGTTTTCTAAAAAAAAATACTTTGGAGCCTTTTTGATCCAACCAAAAAGCATACTACTCGTTTATGGTTAATGTTCTTTAATTTTATTATGTCTGCAGAATTACCTATATATAAGATGGCCTGGCATGGGTTGGTGGTTGGGGTACTTGAGTTACAATCCGCGGGTACGATTCGCGTCACCGAACACGTTATAATGTGATGGTCAATCACACTGCTTTCCCTCTAGTCTGTCACTTCAAAATTAAGGAGAACTAGCGAAAATAGCGAGTATCTTTGCGCGAAATTCAACAAAAAACAAACAAATATTACTTTGATTAGTTCAAGTATGAAATATAAATCTGGTCCCGTTACTAAAACTTAGAGATAAGAAATTGAAGATAGAGTTCAACAAAACACTAGTTTTATTGTAATAACTCGCAGTTTACTTTTAACTTTGATTAGTTCAAGTATGAAATATAAATCTGGTCCCGTTACTAAAACTTAGAGATAAGAAATTGAAGATAGAGTTCAACAAAACACTAGTTTTATTGTAATAACTCGCAGTTTACTTTTAATTAAGCATATTTTAAGTTTAATAACTGTCATTCATATTATCTAAAACTTTCCAAAAAAGGAAGTAAAAGTAGGGATGGCTAATAACAACCCTTCAAAAACAATGCAAACGAGATAGTAAAGATGGCATTTGCATCATCCCTACATAATAGCACAGGTGCACAGTGTAGTAGAATGTTAACAGACAAAATTAGGATAAATTAAAATCAGTTGTGATTGAATAGTTATATATATTGCTATAAGTTAATACTTGCCTGTGCTATTATGTAGAGATGATGTAAATGCCATCCCTACTATCTTTTTTGGATTGTTTTTGAAGGGTTAATATTAGCCATCCCCAACTTTTACTTCCTTTTTTGAAAAGTGTTTTCTTTAGTTGTTTGCTTGTTTTTTAATGCAGGGTTTCAATAGACATATGAAGGTTGTATTTATAACCTAGTTCTAAATATAATGAGGTTCCAGTTGTAATATTTATTTTTTATCTATTATTGGCTAGTAATTCGTGTTTCACCCTGTACTTAATCTAATAATTATTAGTCTC